CTCTGAGGGTGACGGAGCCCTGGCCCAGGCTGCCTAGGGAGGCTGTGGAGTCTCCTCCTCTGGAGATATTCAAGCCCCGCCTGGCCGCGGTGCTGTGCAGCCTGCTGTGGGTGACCCTGCTTCAGCAGGGGGTTGGGCTGGGGTATCCCCAGACGTCCCTTCCAACCCCTAACATGCTGGGATTCTGACTTGTGTTCTCCGAGGAGCGCTGGTTGGTCTTGAACAAGAGTGGAGTTTGGTCGAAGCACCGTACTGCATCGTTTCCCACTGCAGTTCCCTGTGGGCGTGTGGCAGTGAAGTTCGTTAGCAGTGGCTGAAATAATGATATTTAAATGCCACAGGGACTCGGGTCATGCACAAGAGACGACGCAGGGAAGTAAAGTGTTGTCTGACTCCTCTGTCCTCGTCCCCTAGGTAAAGAGCCTGGCCTGTTTGACTTGGTCATTATTAATGATGATTTAGAAAAAGCCTATTCCGAATTGAAGGAGACACTCCTGGAGGTGAGTTGTTCGGGGCTCTGCTGCCGCGCTCCCCGGGCAGACGTGACCTCTAGGCTGAGCGGGCGAGGGTCTGTCTGTAGGGCGGCCCAAGAAATGTGACCTCGTGCCCACACTTCATCTCTTTTGAGCCGCTGAGCGACGAAGTTGAGCACAGCTCGCATAGGAGTGATGATGGATCGGTGGCCCAAGAGCTCAGTTGTTTTCCTGATCTCCTTGCAGGAAATCAAGAAGACCCAGGAATCCAGGAAGTCCTGAGCTGAGCCTGCTTGGACGTTTTAACTTTGCACATCATTCCCGAAGCACGTCACACCATTTTATTCCGAGAGACATTCCCTTTAGGCTGATCCTCCTCCCAAGTTACTCTAGGACGTTTCTATTAAAAGGAAAGAAAACGAAACCCGGTCACGCTCGTGTTTGTTCGCCACGCACTCGGTGAGGGCTCTCCCAGGTTCGTACCTCGGGCGGACGCTTTGGAAGCGATTGCACGGTGTCCGCTGCCGAAGGGCAGAGCCATTCTGCGAGGCGGTGGTGGAGCTGTGTGCGGCCGTGGCACGCGGCCGAGGATCCCACTGCGATATTTGTGGAGGTACCTGGCGTGGGCTGGAGCACCTCTGCTGGGACGAAAGGCTGAGAGCGTTGGGGCTGTTCAGCCTGGAGAAGAGAAGGCTGCGGGGAGACCTTAGGGCGGCCTGACAGTACTTAAAGGGGCTTATAAGAAAGATGGGGACAAAGTTTTTAGCAGGGCCTGTTACAGGACAAGGGGTAACAGTTTTAAACTAAAAGAGGGTAGATTCAGACTGGATATAAGGAAGAAATTCTTTACAGTGGAGGTGGTGACACACTGGCAGAGGTTGCCCAGAGAGGGGGAAGGTGCCCCATCCCCGGAAACATTCAAGGTCGGGTTGGACGGGGCTCTGAGCAAC